CTAGTGTCTGAGGCTGGATTTGAACTTGGGTCCTTCTGACTCCAAGGCTGGAGCTCTAACTACTGTGCCACCTAGCCAACCCCTAAAGCATCTCTTTATCACAGGGAGCCTATCTGGAAGAGTAGGGAGAGAGCCAGCCCATCTTGAAGCAGGAACATTTTGGTGCAAATCCTGGTCCTATTGTATACTGGCTTGTCAAGTCACTGACTTCTCAGCACTGTAGGCAACTCTATCTAAGCTGTAGAGAAGGGACCAACTTGGATCAACAGAGGCTATTTCTGCATTCAGGAGTTTCAGTGGAATCACCGATCCAGTTCTTTTGTTACTGACGTTATTTGACATTAAAATACACACGTGGGTCCTTCTTTTAGGGCCTTATAACAGCACTGACAGAGTATTGGCCTTAAGAAGAAACAACTCAGGCAGTTAAAGAAATAAACATTTTTAAGCACAAAATTAGGAAATAAGTAAATGTTTACATTGTGTAGCAGCTTGTAGTGAATATTGTGTACAAATGAAAGGTGGTTGTATCATAGGAATCTATTGCCCTTTCTGTAACATGGAGGGCTGTTTCCTTTTAAATCACTTAGAACCTTTTCACCTGGATTTAGTGTTTAGTTACTAGTGGATTGCCTCACATCTGGACTCATCATGGTAGCAAATTCACTCCTGATGGATGGTAGCTAACATGTAGGTCTTTCATTGGTTTGTTAACCCAGTTACAGATGACCTATTTAACTATTGTGTTAGAAACAAGAATGTATAAAAGTAATCTATCTAAATGTCTTTGTTCTCCATCAGTGCTGTTTTACATTGAATGATGACAGGCTAAGGGAGAGAAGATGAGAAAAGACAGGCAGAGGCTGATATGCCATTAATTTGTGCTATTGCTGTTCAGAACAATATCCTGATAATGTAGAGTGTGGTATCAGTTTGGGGGTATTATGTTTCCTGTCTGAATCCTGTTGGATATTTTCTTTCTTTGTATTTCTTTGTATTCAAACTTCCAGGTTAGTGGACTAGAACTCAAGGTTAGATAAATCTATCAAGTATAGAGTCTCTAGAACATCTTCCCATCATCCCTTTTTTTTGGTTATTCTGTACTTGACAATTAACATTTCCATATACAGAGAAGAACAGAAAAGGAGGATTGTATGTGAACATGCAAATTTGTATTATGTACAACTTGGTTTTTTAAAAATTATATAATTTAACACAGTAGTTCCAAAGCTTTCCTGCTTATCTCTGTCTGCCTCTGAACTTCTTTATTTTATTAGTTTTTTAAAAAAACCAATTCTTGGTTTTATTTATCAATTCAACTTTATTTTGCTTTTAATTTATTTTGTCTCTCATTTTTAAAATTCCTATTTTTCTATTTAGTTGGGGCTTTTTGATTTGTTTGTTTTTAGATTTTTACTTTCAGGCCCAGTTCATTGATTTGTTCTTTTTTTTTTTATTCATGAAAGTGTAAGCATAGTTAAGCAAAAACAAATTCATGCATTTGCCATATCCAAAAATGCACCTCATTCTGCACCTTGATTCATGCTTCAGCATCATGGCATAGTGGTTAAGGCAGAAGACTTGGAGTCAAGATGACCTGGGTTCAAATTCCACCTCAGACACTGAGTAGCTATGTAACCTCAGGCAAGCATAACCTCTCAGGTTCCTCGTTTATAAAATGAAGAACTTGTACTTGATGTTCTCAAAAGATCCTTTTAGCTCTGAATTAATGATCCTAAGATCGTCTGGAGTCCTGGTTGGTCATTGCCTTGATCAGAATTCTTAAGTTTTTCAAAGCACAACTTTACTATAACCACTTAGAATACTTCCCTTCTTTCTCCTTCAAACCATTCTCTTCAGGATTTGGTGCCACTTCATACTAAGTTATAAAGACTTGTAGAAAATTGTGTTTTTACTTTCTCTGAACTTCTAAATGAGAAAAACAAAAAATAATTGTTCTCTTTGGGACTTTTTCTTTATTTCTTCTGGTAGGGAGGAGTCATAACAGATTTGTTTTTCTTTTAGCCATTAGACAATAGAGCTTCAAAGAACGTTATATGTATATTGTTATTCTCTTAGGGGACTGTAGAATGTGATCCCAGAATTATTTCCAAAAAATTATACTTAGACATTCTGCCAGCTTATTTCCCAGATTGCTTACTTCCAGTCTTTTTATCTAGAAGAGTCAGGTAGGTGGGTCAGTGGATAGAATGCCAGGCTTGAAATCAGGAAGACTCATGTTCTTGAGTTCAAATCTAGCCTCTGACACTTAATAGCAGTGTGACCTTGGGCAAGTCACTTAACCCTGTTTGCCTCAGCTTCCTCATCTGTAAAATGAGCTGGAGAAAGAAATGGGAAACCACTAGAAAACCCCACGTGGGATCATTAAGAGTTGGACACTACTGGAAAACAACTGAACATCAACATCTTTTTATCTAGAAGTATAACCTCCTAGACGTGGCAGGTAGCAGCAGTAAGCAGCTACAGGCAAGCCCAGCTCTGGTTGAGATGAGAAGGGAGCTGGAGTTGTATAGTTCCCTTCATTTTTCATGGCCTTAGTAACTATAATAACTGTAATCTTGAGATCATGCAGCTCTTAGAAATGAGATAAAAGAAAATGATCTTTCTTCTATGGCAATTAAGGGGAGAAGTGGGAGGGAGTTGAGGAACCTTTTCTCCCTGCATCTGGAATCATAGAATTTGTACCTAGAAAGAAGGGGCCTTAGAAGTAATTTTGTTTAATTCCCTAATTTTATAAGTGAGGAAATGACCCTGAGAAATGTTCCAAGTAATAAGTAGCAGTGTCAGTATCCAAACCCAGGTCCTCTAAATTCATATCTAGAGTTCTGTTACACTCTACTGCTTCTTTGTCTGTCTGGGGCAGATTTCATTTTTGGAGATTTTGATTATGTAAAATTGAAAAGGTTTGCAAAGAAAAAATAATGTTAGAATTTGAAGAAAAATATCTTGGAAACAAGTATTTTTGATAAAGGCTTGCTATCCAAAATTTATAGGGAACTGATGAATACAAAAACCACCCCAACAGATAAACAGTAAAAGGATATGAACAAGCAGTTTTCAAATCAACCATATGGAAGAATGTTCTAAATCACTAATAATAAGAGTTTTACAGATGAAGTCCTGGGCAGCTAGGTAGTACAGTGGATAGAGTGCCAGGCCTGGAGTCAGGAAGACTTATCTTCCTGAGTTCAAATATGGCCTCAGATACTTATGTGTGTCTGAGACACACAGACACAGACAGCTGTGTGACCCTGGGCAAGTCACTTAACCCTGTTTGCCTCAGAGGAAGAAAATGGCAGACCACTCCAGTAGCTTTGTCAGGAAAACCCCAAATGGGTTCATGAAAAGTCAGACATGACTGAGAAACAATTGAACAACAACAAATGAAAGCAACTTTGAAGTTCCACCTCACTTTTATCAGTTTGGCAAAGACAATAAAAGAGAAAAATGACTATTTTTGAAGTACATATGGGAAAATAGACTCACTAATGCAGTGTTAGTGTATCAGTGGATTGGCCCAGCTATTCTGTTTAAAATTTTTGAGTTGGTACTCATTAATGGTATTGGCCTATAGTTTTCTTTTTTTAAATCTTTCTCTGGTTTAGGACTTATTAGGACTTTTTCTTATAAAAGGATTCAGGTGGGTTCTTTCTCAATTTTTGAGAATAATTTGTGAAATATGAGTACTGTCTTTAAAAGTTTGATAGAATTCAAAGTCAATAATAAATTCACTAAACATCTATTAGGCACCAGACATACATGCCAAGCATTTATGCTAAAGAATGCAAATTAGAAAAAGACAGTCCCTGCCCTCAAGGAGTTTACCATCTTATCTGGGAAGACAGTACACAAAAGGAAACTGATATGGTTGGGGAGGGAGACCCCAGGGGTGTATCTTGTTCTATGGGGCTGAAACCAAGCAGAGTTATATTATAGATGGAAAATGGCTGTTGTCCTTTGTTCTAGAAGAGGACCAAAATGATGTTACTGTGTTAGAGTCAAGTTACAATGCTTCTGACTGTGGCTAATCAGACCAATAGGACCTCGGATTTGGGGTGGATTCTCTAAATTTGTGTATCTACCATTTCTTTTGAGTTACTTCAATTCTGCTTTGCTCATAGGGCACAGCACCTTCTCAGATCAGGGTACACCATGCTTGGTGGTCCTCTGCCAGTGTCACACAATCATGTCACACAATCAATTCCAAAGTCATTGAGAGAAACCTTGAGAGTGTCCTTGTATCGCTTCTTCTTACCACTATGTGAGTGATTGCCCTGTGTGAGTTCTCCATAACAGAATGCTAGACTGATCATAGACTTATCTTCTTCAAGCTAAATATCTGCATTCAACAAAAGCAGTGGGCCCCAAGGCAAAATGACTACCAGAAGAATTAATGTAAACAGATTACAGTGCTTCTTTGAGTGGGAACAGTTTGTTGCTAACCTGAAGAGAAAGTTGAGCCAACACATAGCTGGCAAGAGTGGAGCAGAAAAGGAGCAGGCAGCTTTCAGATATTTGGTGTGTGGCACTGCATTTGCTCATCTGGGTCAGAACACTCTCAAACATCAAGATTGGTTTGATGAAAATGATGGGGAAATTCAGAAACCATTAAATGAAAAATGAGAACTCCACAAGGTTTACTAGCAGGATGGTTAATCCATCTCTAAGAAGGCTGGGTTTAATTCCATCAAAAGTAAAGTACAAGCAAAGCTTAGAGAAGTGCAAGATTCTTGGTTCAGTAAGAAGGCAGATGAAATTCAGTTTTATGCTGATAGTAACAATCCAGAGCACTTTTATGATGCCCTGAAGGCTTGTGGTTTATCCTTCTTTCTCGAAGAGGACCATGGCATCAGGGAGATGATGACATGACTTGCACTTGACTTTGATTTGAGTGAGAGAGGGCTGTGCAAAGTCACTTTCTCTTCCAGAGCCATCTGGGTCCAGTGGCCGGATATCGATCAGAACAACTGGATATAGCCCAGGATGCAGTGAGCTATTTATGGACTAAAGACCTATGGTATATCTCAACTACTCTGTACTGATGGAGCAAGACATGATCCTGGAGTGAACATTTCCATAATGTTCTCAACAAACCATCATCAATCACTGCTGAAGCCTTCAACCATTTACTTCAGAAGAGGTTTTGAATGCCATTAGGCTCTTTTGTGTGGCAAAGCACCTGGTACTGATTCTGTTTCAGCTGTGATTTACAAGGTGGGGGGGGTACATTGCTCATACAAAAAGTTAACTGAAATTTTATGGCAAGAGGTTTTTCCCCCAGCAGTCCAAGGATGTCTCCATTGTCCATCTTTATAAAGGTAAAGGAAATAGATTGTCCGGAGACAACCACAGTGGGGTCTCCCTCTTAACTATTGCTGGTAAGATTCTTGCTAGAGTCGTCCTTAATAGGCTTATCCATCACCTGGAAGATGGTCATCTACCTGAGAGCCAGTGTAGCTTTAGAAGGGGCTGAGGAAAGGTCAATATAGTGTTTGCTGCCTGACAACTCCAGGAGAAATGCTTAGAGCAGAACAGAGATCTGTACACAATGTTTTAGATGGAAAATAGTGAGAGCTAAAAGTCCAATTCTTGCGCTCTGAAGAGGAGGGTTTTGGGAAGAGTTAAGTGCTCCACTTTACAGTCCTCCAATTAGAGGGGAGGTAAGGTGTTGAGTATCCTAGACTGAGTTAAGCCACAGTGGTGATGAGATTAGAAAAGACTAGGAGTGGAATTTTTGCCCTTGGTATTTCCCTTACATACATCTAAATCTATTTCTTTTTTCTGAGATTGGATTATTTAAGATCTCTTTCTGTTCTTCTGATAGTTTGTGTATTTTATTTGAAGGTATTCCTCTGTTTCTTTTGTGTTCTTAATTTTGTTAGCATAAAATGTCTTATGTAATATGTTTTATGTAATATGTTCTGATTATTCTTTTCATTTCTTCTGGTTTTGCTGTGATTTCACGATGCTTATTTCCTATTCTATTGATTTAATTTTCTGCTCTCTTCTTTATCAGATTTGCTAAGGGTTTACCAGTTTTATTTTTTCAAAGAACCATTTTTTGGTAATATCATTTATGGGGTTTTTTGGTTTCCAATTTATCTATTTCCCCTCTCATTTTTAATATCTCCCCTTTTTTGGTTTATTTTAGGTTTATTTGTTGAGTTTCTAATTTTTAAAAATGTGTACTGATGGGGCAGCTAGGTGGCACAGTGGATAGAGCACTGGCGCTGAAGTCAGGAGGACCTGAGTTCAAATCTGGCCTCAGACCAAACACTTGACACTTACTAACTGTGTGACCCTGGGCAAGTCACTTACTGGCCCCAGTTGCCTTAAAAAAAATAAAGTATACTCATTTCATTAATCTTTTTCTTATTTTGTTAATGTATGATTATAAGGTTATTACAGAAATTTTGGAATGTTGCTTTATCATTATCATTTTCTTTTACATAGTTATTAATTGCTTTTATGATTTGTTCTTTGACCTACTAATTAGTTAAGATTTCATTGTTAAGTCTCATTTTGGTCTATATCTTCTGTTTGTGGTACCTAAACCAATTTCAGTTTTTATTGCATTATGGTCTGTAAAGGATGCATTGCCTATTTCTGCCTTTTTACATTTGTTTGTAATATATCTCTCTGCCCTAGTATGTGGTCAATTTTTATGAAAGTTCCATGTGTTGTAGAGAAGTATGTATATTCTTTTACTGTCCCATTTAGAAGATGCCTTTGGTCTTTTAACTCTAGTTTCTCCAATTTGTTCAGTTCCATAGTTTCTCTTTTGTTTGTCTTTCTGTTAGACTTATCTAAAATGGATAGAGAGATACTGAAGTCTCCTGTCACTGTTGTGTTCTCTCTGTGTCTTCTTGAAGTTCAAATAATGTATCCTTTGTGAATTTGGATGCTAAGGCATTTGGAGCATATATTATTGATATTGGTTGTTGTCTGTGTTTCCTTTAAGCATAATAAAATTTCCTTGGTGTTTCTTTTTAAATTTTTTTAATGTTTTTGCATTGTTTGCTAGCATGTGGCACCTCCTGCTTTTTTAGATTTGCTTAATGCATAGTAAATTTTTTTCTGCCCCCTCAATTTTATTTTGTGTATGACTTTTTTTTTAATGTGTTTCTTTTAAACAATAGATTATGGAATTTTGTTTTCTTATCCAGTTGATCTCTCTTTTGTTTTATTGGCTTGTTTAATCCTTTCACATTTAAAATTATGAGTTAAGTTTATATTTTCCTCCATTTGTCTCGAATATTGGGTTTTTATTCAAGTTATGATTTTTCCCCCTCTTCTGCTATAAACACAGTATAATATTCCCTTAGTTACTTTACTTTTGTCTTTCTTTTTTTCCGTGGCCCTTTTTTCACTGGTTCTCTTCTCACTCCTGATACTACCCTCTTCTCATTTGTTAATCTTTTCCCTTTAGGATTTTGCTTTTATCTGATATTTTTCCCATTCTTTTTTCCTCATAGTCAGGTAGATTTTACTTCCTGTCCTTCCCCTTCAACTAGTTCTGTTCATTAATTTCTTAAATTTCTTTTTTTTTTGCTCCCTTTTCCAAAAAAGGATTTTTCTCATTCTTCATTATCCATCTTTTCTTCCTATTTACTCATACTCTGATTCTCATGACCTCTTTAATTATATAGTCTCTCTCTTTTCTCTCTATTCTTTGTGTAATTTGAACTTCCAAAGTATACATTCTAGGCTCTCCCCTCTTGATGCCTTTTTATCACTGCTTTGTAGGGCTTACCCCATGGATTTTCTTTTTTCCATTGTGCCTCATTCCTAGAATTGTGCCAATTATTCCTTGCCTGTTGCATTTATTCACTCTTCTTGTATTTCTGTTGTTCGGGGTGTTCAAGAAGCAAATAATCTATCCGGGTTTGCTTTTCTTTCTAAAAATGTTTCAAACTCTTCTTTGTTATTTAATGTCCATTTTTTGTCCTCTTTGGTTCAATTTGCTCAGATTTGCTGGGTAAGTGACCATGGGGCTGCATCCTGTGCTTTGTTGCCCTTTAGAACACATTGTTCCATTCCCTCCTTTTTTTCGTGTGTGTGTGTGTGTGTGTGTGTGTGTGTGTGTGTATGTATGTACAATAATCTTGTGTTATTCAGATGTACTTTGTATTTGTAGGTCTTTCTCTTGATGACCTAAAGAATTTTTATTTCTAAATTGAATTGTTATATTTAAGTATTATGTGTCTTAGAGGTTGCAGCTTTTAGTTTTTGTCTGGAGGTGATCTGTGAAGTTTTTTAATTGGAATTTCAGTGTTTATGTTTAGGAGCTCTGAGTAGTTCTCTTCTGTTATTTCCTTCATTATAATGTTAAAGTTTTTTGTCTAGTTGAGCTCTGGGAAACCTATGTTCTTTATGTTGTCTCTGCATCTTGTTGAGATAAGTGTATTTTGCTTGCATAGTGAGCATGTTTTCTTTTTTTCTAACTTGTCCTTCACTGCTTTGTATTTACATTCCTCATCTATTGTTCTCTTTTTTCTTTCTTTGCTAAGGCTTGCCATTTTAGCGTCAAGTTCTCATTATTTTTGCTGTGTAGGACATATATTCTGCTCTCATAATTTTCATTTCTCTTTTAAACCACTCAGAAACAGTGTATTGTGGTTCCATGTTCTGCACAGGGTCCTCTGTCTTATCAAGTGCTAGATCATTTTCCTTTGTTTTGTAGTATTTATTCATAAATGCCTGAACTTATTTACTGTATCTGGAAGCTATATTTCCTTCTGTTATTGTTTTTCCTGTTGATTTATCTGTTTATATTCAAGGTCTTTTAGCATTTTTCTTCTTGAAATCTTTGGTCCCTTCAGTCTCTTATTCTCCTTTCTTTTATGTACTGCCTACTTCCTGACTCCTTTTTGACTGTGATTTCATTGAGGGCCGGATCTCAAAATGTCTCAGCCCTCTTCCATACTGGGCAATTCATGGTTCACCAGCTTAGGTCTCTGCTCCAGGTGACTTTTGGGTGGTCAGTACTAGCCCCAACTGGGTACTGTGCTTGTTCCCTTAGGCTTGATGGACTGCTTCACAGCTTCCCCCACTCACAGTGTCATATACTGGTGACTTGTCTCACTCAGTGTGTTCCTTAGCTCTTTGGCACCACACCAGCAGTTAGGAGCCTGCAGTACAGGTGCTTCTGGGTTTTCCCCAACCTCCTTTTTTGCTCCTAAAGAGCTGTGTGTGGCTACACTGGCTGTTGAGCCCTGAGCAAAATTCCCCAGCCTGGAACTGGTGTCTCCACAGCATTGGGAAGAGGGTGGGTTTTTATGTAAGCCTATGTTCTTGGGTCTGGTTGTACAGCCTTACTGCCAGTAGTGTGGGAGGTGGTAGAGGGGTGCTGAGTAAGCTCAGGGTCAGTGAGTGTCAGTTCCTGGGTTTGGGTTTTGTTTTATTTTGTTACCTTTTGGGTTCTGGGAGTCCTTAGACCTTGGAGACAGCTGAAGTTCTTTTATCTTTGGTGCATAGTTTCTGTTTTGGATAGGTTTGAGGTGTTGTAGGAATCACAGAAAATGTCTGGTCCACCATCTTGTTGCTTATGTCACCTAGAAGAATGGCCCAGCCATTCTGGAAGACACATTTGAACTTCAAATGAAGCTGTCCATGTCACGTGATCAAACTAAGTAATATTCCTTTTTACTCAAAAGATGAGGTGTGGCTCGTAAATTGATTCTCAAGGCAGTTCCCAAAGAGGAATGCCAAGTCAAATATTTTGAACAATGGTTTATTTTTGTAATATTTAGCAGCCCAAGGTAGCCACTTTGACGGATTTAATTCATTTGGATATATAAGTTTCTCAGTGTCTGTGTATATAGGTGTGTTTAAACAGTCTTATTGGTTTATAGTCAAACCTATGGAGTAGAGTAGTCAGGAAAGCTTTCTTAGGTAAGTTTTAGTTGGAGCTGGGCCTTGAAGGATGAGAGGAAACAGAACATTTCAGGCAATATGAAGAAAGATGCAGAGATGAAAATGAACCATATCATTTTCGGAGAACTCATAAGTAGGTGTCTGGTTGGAATGTTGGGTTCACATTCCAAGTGAATGGTGGAAGATTGAATTGGAAAGGACATAGGAGTCACATCATAAAGACTTTTGAATGCCATACTAAGAAGTTTGCACTTAGGTTTTTAGGCAGTGGAGCCATTAGAAAAGTTAAAGTGGTGAGATGATGTATGCAAAGTGTGTTTAGGAGAATTAATAATTTG